CCCCAAAACCCCAAAACCCCAAAACCCCTTTTAATAAAAATTTAATTGAAATGGAATTATACGAGACATTATTCTCTGAAGACTTCTCTTTTGAAACTATGGTAATTAGGGAAGCTGGCTGTTAGGAAGGTTAAGCAGGAGAAAGGGGGTTTGGAGGTTTAGGAGCAATTGGGCTTTTGGATACGGAGTATTTGGGGTCAGGGTCGCCAAAACATCCTGAAATTAATGATTTGATATAGATTAAATTTGAGCTTGCAGATAAGAGTTTTAGAACTTCATTCATAAATTTATAATCCAGAGTATTTCCCCAGCCGATGAAGAAGCAAATCCGTCCAGTGCTCACAGAATTTACAGTAGAGCGCTGAGGATAGAGACTACGGTCAGAGGCCGTGTGAAGACAATGACCTTCCCAGTCAAGGATTTGATAGGGTGTGAGTACACTGATGAAGGGGAAAATATGATCGAGATTTCAGTATTGCCCATAAATTTGACAAATGGGTGGGGATGCAGGAAGATTAGTAATTACAAGAATACTCAGAGTGCGAAGAGAGAGCTTTATGTGGGTCTTTGGAGTGATAGTTTATAGTCTTTTGAGTTTAATGCAATGTCGAGACAAAATGCGTTGAATATAGTGGGTACTCTTCAAGATCTGATTGTTGGAAAGGAACCACAGTCAGAGTGTAAGTTTAGGAAGTTAAAATATAGACGAAACTTTGCCGGATAGAAGAAAGATCTTGATCTTTCTTAACCCGTTTAGTTGCAATGGTAAGTCTAGAAGAGTCTGGAATAACTCAGCTAAGGCCATCTTTGATAAGGCCTCTCTTGACTATACCTTTATTGAGACTGAGAGAGGAGGTCAAGCACACGATTTTGTCAGCACAGAAGATCTTGACCAGTACTAATTAGGAATTATTTTATAGATTTGAAAGTATCGTCACTGTTAGCGGAGATGGGCTAATCCACGAAGTTGTTAATGGACTCTTACAAAGGGAGGATAAGTACTATGAAAGGAGAAAGATCCCTATAGGAGCCCTCCCTGGAGGCTCCTCCAATGGATTTGTTAAGACACTCACCTATGAATCAGGTGAATCCTCTGGTGTAGAACAGGCTTGATTACTCATTATAAAGGGACATGTTCGGAATATAGACATCATTAGATATGAACTTGATGGAAGAGAAAAGCCGATATTCTCCTTCCTTTGATTCTTTTGGGCAATTCTTAGCGATGTTGATCTAGAATCTGAGAAGATCAGATGTGTTGGCAGTAGCAGGTTTACAATTTGGAGCTTGCTAAGAGTCTTCAAACTCAGAAAATATCGTGGAATGCTCAAATACAATGGAGAAGACCTTCTTAATAAAAATCAGAAAGTCAGAGATATTGAAGATGAGGGAACTGTCAGGAGTGACTCTGGTCGTGAAGAATCTAAGCAAGGAAGTTTTGAGAAAAAAGTTCAAAATGAAAGTCAAGCATCTAGCTTTAAGTCTTCGGAGTTTAGAGCCAACAGCAAGTCTAAAGTGCTGAAAGAATTGGATTGTAGGGAGTACTAATGAGTTTTATAGGCAATTTTTCATATATTTCGATCAATAATACGCAATTTGCTGGAGAGAAGTTCTATAACGCTCCTCTTTGTAAGGTGAACGATGGATATATGGACGTAGTAGTAATTTGATAGTCTTAACTTAAAGATTCAAGAAGGAGATCATATAGGAACATGTAAAATTCTTAAATTAATGCTCAATTTTGAGAAGGGACAATTTTTTAATAATCAAGGAGATATTAAGCAGCAGTTATCAATAAATTATAAGAAGGTAAAACATTTTACATTGAAACCAGATCTTGATTTCTTGCCTAAGAATGAGCAAGAGGATCCTGATTATGAGAATCAGACTTTTGGGTGGTACTCAATCGATGGAGAGAAATATCCTCCTTGCGAAATCACAGGAGTGACTATTAAGCAAGGGTTAGCAGTAACAATGCTTTAGCCCCCCAATTAGTGTTACAATTTTGAAATAATCAATATATATTAAACTTTACGGGGTTTTGGGGTTTTGGGGTTTTGGGGTTTTGGGG